ATGAAGCGATTTGTTTGATTCAAAAAACATTCGATTTATATTGATAAGGAGACGTGCTGATTAGTTTTTGGCAAAGGCAGGTCTAGCTGTTCCGAAGATATGGGGCAAAAACTGCCAAAAACGGTAACTCAGTTTTTAAGAGAACGGAGCGTCCGATTTGAATAATTCAAAAAACATTGTACTTGTATTAACGAGATGAAGAACTGATAAAATTTTCATAAAGGCAGGTCTAGCGGTTTCGGAGATTTAACGAAAAAAGTAAAAAAAAATGCTATTTCATGGTCAAAATTGATCATTAGACATATGCACATCAAATTACCAGATATTTTATAGAGATTTTAACAATAAGTATAAATAATTTTTAAGTTTACATTCCTATGGGTCCCGTACCAATGTTTATCCGTTAGACGACGACGCGGCGCTTACGCGCTTTGATATTTCGTCTCTGTGCAGTTAAAGCAGTACGATTGCTTTGAAAAAAAAATCAGAATTTAAATGAAAATATTTCAAAATAAATTTTTCTTCAAAAAGTCTTTTTTAAAAAAAGTAGTTTTTTGTCAAAAAATTATAGTTTCTCAAAAATCTAAGTTCTTCAGAGTAATTTTTTTTTTAAAAATGTTAATCTTTTCTAGTGGTGGTGGCGGAACCCAATTTGTTTTCACTTTTGAACTTGAGGTTAAGACGAACCTAATTCTAAAATTTCATGCAAATCGGAGCACAGTAAAAATTCAGAGTTTATCGTGTCAACTTTTATGATTATCACCTATATATTCAATTTCCAGGACATAAATCCCGCCTTCAATCGTCTTGTCGAATAAAATCGTGGCGGTTTCCTCATCCTCATCATAACTCACATCATCAGTTTCGCACACACAGCTACTTGCCGATAGGATTTTGGCATGATTTATGACCAAATCCGCGGAATTCAGAGTGATTTCTTCTATAGCTTCCAAAACCCTAAAATTATAAATATTAGTGCTGACTTTGGGGCTTCAGATTCCATTTTTTACTTACATCGATATCGACAGAAAAACTTTTCCAACAAACGTCGAACATTTGGACAGGGGTTCCAATTCCATTTATAATGTTTTGGGACGATGCAATGTGGAAGATTTCCATAAGTTGTAAACATTAATGAAGTCATTGAATCCATCGTAGATTTTTTTTTTCAATTAAAAATATTTGGCGGTGACATATGAAACAAAAGAATACGACAATGACGACCTTCTTTCATAGACTTTACACTGCGTAAACTGCTAGTCAAGGCCGCAATAAAGTGTAACTAGTGTATATGGCATCTGTGTCTTAAGACAAATTGCTGCAACTTCCCGTACCAAATTTTTTTTTAAAAGATTAACATTTTTGAAAAAAATTTACTCTGAATAATTAGATTTTTGAGAACAATTTTTTGACAAAAATTTACTTTTTTTTGAAAAAAAGAACACATTTTGAAGAAAAGTGTATTTTGAAATATTTTGGAAATTCAGAAGTTTTTTTCAAAGCGATCGTACTGCTTTAACTGCATAGAGATAAAATATCGAAGCGCGTAAGCGCCGCGTCGCCGTCTAACGGATAAGCATTGGTACGGAACCCATAGAAATGTAAACAAAATTTATACTTATTGTTAAAATCTTTATAAAATATCTGATAAATTGATGTGCATATGTCTAATGATCATTTTTGACCGCCAGATGGCATTTTTTTTACTTTTTTTACTAGATCTCCGAAACCGCTAGACCTGCCTTCGTAAAAATTTGATCAATTTTTCATCTTGTCAATACAAGTAAAATGTTGTTTGAATTATTCAAGTCGAAAGCTCCGTTCTCTTAAAAACTGAGTTATCGTTTTTGGCACTTTTTGCTCCATATCTTCGGAACGGCCAGACCAGCCTTTGCCAGAAACTAATCAACACGTTTCCTAATCAATACGAATTGAATGTTTTTTGAATTATTTAAATCGATTCATCCGTGTTTCCGAAATCGTCGACGAAAATTTGTATCCGAACACACATACGCACACACACACACACATACATCAATTTTTTCTAAGGTATGCCAAAATATTCAGAAACCACTGAAACGTTAAGATATATAAAAAATTTTATTTTTGATTTTTTTACGATTACTATAACTTACTCTATGGGAAGTTAAAGATAGAAAGGGACTGTGAGGTTACTGTGAGAACGAGCGTTGCCGACAATCGTGGAAGACTCCTAAATGATTAAGTGCTATATGAATTTACCTTTGGTTCTATGTTCAATAATTGCACAGAGGCAATATTATAAAAATAATTTCCCACAAAATTACTAGCCATATCAATTGCCATTATATTATTAACATAAAACTATCACAAATAATATTTGAATTAAATTAATTATTGTGATGTATAATATATAATATAATAAACACTATTATTTAAGCAAATTTGATTAAATTTTAAAAAAACAAATATTGGTTTTTAGTTTCACTATTTTATTTGTATTGATTTATATTTTGGAATTTATTTATCAAAAGTTGGGTCTAATTTTGCTCACCAGTTTCAGATTATTTCTAAAAATTTGTTACATTTGGTGACTGATACAAAACTCTTTCTGGATTTCCTTAATTTTTCTTGTTTGATTCTAAAATATTTTTGATCATTAGATATCAATTTTTGATGAGCTCTAAAATTTTTCTGTTTACTGATATGAAACTCTTGATTCCTTCTTCTTGCCTGATTTCAGTTAAAAATTTAATCAGGATGTCAATTTTTGATGATCTCTAGAATTTTGTTGTCCCCGAATTAATTGCAATTATTCCCTTGTACAAGTTCCTTAATCGTATTTAATTATCTTTTCATCAGCACTTTAACAATAATCAATTCTTCAGAAAATGTCTAATTTTCTTGGTCGACTCTTTGTACGACTATCCTTCTATTGTCGTGAATAATTATCCATCTGAGTTGATTAATTTAGTCCAAAATATTTCCCAAGGATCAAAATTTTTGTGAGTTTATAAGGAACCAAAAAGTTGATAAGGGTTTACCAATATTTGGTTCATTAATTGACTTTTCATGATCAATCTTGGAGGGATCTCTTGATTGTTGATCTGAAAGTTATGACCTGGTTGATCCAAAAATCATGTTTTACTATTTCTTCAAAAACATTTTCTAAGGATCAAAATATTTGCTATATCATTAGGATTCAAAAGGATTATAAGAATTTCACAATATTTGGTTTACTAATTGACTTTTTCACAATGAATCCTGGAATGATCTCTTGGTTGATCTAAATATTATGTCCTGGCTGATTCAAAAATTATGTCTTACTTCTTATTCCAAAATATTTCCTAAGGATCGAAACTTTTGTTATATCATTAGGATCCAAAAAGATTATAAGATCTTTCCAATATTTAGTTTATAAACTGACTTTTTCATGATCAATCCTAGAATGATCTCTTGATGGATAATCTAAAAATTATGTCCTGGTTGATTTAAATATCTCATACCAATTATTCCAAAATAAATCCTAAGGGTCAGAATACTGATCAGATCATTGGGATTCCAAAAGACAAAATCTTCACAACTTGGCTTTAAAATTTACTTTTTTATAATCAATCTAAGATCAATCTTGGTGATCTAAAAATTAGGTCTTGGCTGATTCAAAAATCATGTTTTACTATTTATCCAAAAATAATTCTTAAAGATCAAAGTACTTGTTAGATCATTAGAATCCAAAAAGATATTAAAAACTTTCCAATATTTGGTTTATAATCTGACTTTTTCATGATCAATCCTGGAATGATCTCTTGATGGATAATCTGAAAATTATGTTCTGGATGATTTAAATATCTCATACCAATTATTCCAAAATAAATCCTAAGGGTCAGAATACTGATCAGATCATTGGGATTCCAAAAGACAAAATCTTCACAACTTGACTCGTAAATTGACTTTTTCATTATGAATTCGGGAATAATTTCTTGGTTGATCCAAAAATTATGTCTTGATTGATCCAAAATTTACGTCGTACCAATATCTTGATCAATTTTATAACTTTTCAGTATCGACATCCCTTTTGGATGTGCAATGTTTTTATATAAAACAACCAACAATGTTGGTTTCAAAATTATTACTCCATCAGCATTTTTTGCAAAAAAAATAGACCTTTTTTAGAGTTTACGGTAATGGCTGGTCCAAAATCATGTCTTGCTAATATTTTGTCTATCTATCCATCATCAATTTGTCAACAATCTCTTGGGTATATAAAATCTGCTAAATTTGTCCAAAATTCAATAACGTTGATCCTAAAAATTTGATTACATCATAATTTTTTCGCCTGCACGAACATTTTTAGAGCTTTTTAAAGGTTTTGGATAATTTTAAAATTAAGTCTTGCTAGTTGATAACGACGGTCTTTACATCATCAATCTGAAAACAATCTTTTTTGTACACAAATTTGACCGACATCCAATAAAGTTGGAGTTTTTTGTTTAGCATTTTAATTGTTCTGCCTAATCAAAAAATGATGTCTTGCCAATATTTTGGTCAATCATATGATCTTTACATAATCAATTTGACAAGGATCTATTTTGTCCATAAATTTGTCCACACAATGTTGGTTCCCAAATTATTACTCCACCAGCATTTCTTTTGCAAAAATTAGGGTAGCCTTTCTTAGAGCTTTCTAAAGGCATTGGTTGAACCGAAAACCACGTCCTACAACGTTGGTTTTAAAAATATTACTCCATCCGCATTTTTTTGTGTATGATGTGGACAACTTTACTAAGAACTTTTTAAAGCAATCGTTGATCCAAAAATCACGTCTTACCCAAATTTTGGTCAACCTTATGATCTTTCCATCACCAATCTAAGAACGTTGTCTTTTGCAACAATTCCTATAAATTTATCCAAAGTTGGTCTAAAAAATTTGTTTTCTTCAGCATTTCTTTTGCAAAAACGTAGACAACTCTTCATAAATTTTCTTAACAGCCTTGGCCCTGCCCGAAGAGATTCCACAGCATAAGAAATAGCAAAAGCAGCTTCTGGCATCGGATGTTCCTTAAAATGAGCCTCAATTTCCTTGGCCTTGGCACCACAGGCAAATTTGTGGATGAGTAACATAACAATCACAGCTAAAAAATAGAAAAAATACAATAAATTCCTGTTTTTTATCTTATACCAAAAATTTGTTATTATCGTTACCTAATCGTTTCTGGCCCTTGTACATTTCTGCAATTCGTTCCTGGTTTTCCTTCAGAAATTTCCAGGCTATTATTCGTCCTCGTGGTGTATTTGTGATATGGTAAATTATGTATTGAAAGTCTGTTTTGTCGACTTCACCACTTAGACCGTAATTTAGGACTTTTTGCACAACTTCTTCATTATGGGCACATCCCATTGCTGTCAAAATTCTGAAAAAAAAATAGAACCAAAAGGTATACTTAGTTGGTTATCTCTAAATTGAAGTTGATTTGTATATAGAAGATTAAGTGCAATAATATCATGGATTTAATAGTGAATATTTCGAAAAAAAAATCATATTTTTCTGAATATTTGAAATCATTAAAATTATCAGTAATACCTCTATGATGTTAATTATCAATAAAATAATGGAAAGATATTTATTTTATTTAAAATTATTGCAAGATTAAGTACAATAGTATTTTGAATTTAAGAAATATTATTTTGTAGAGATTTATTTTTATTGTAATTTTCTTAATTAAAAATTAGAAAAAAAATTAGAAAATTAGAAGTTGTCTTGATGATGGTAAGATTATATGGTTGACCAAAATATTGGTGATGATTTTTAGATCAACAAATGTCTTTATAAAGTTATAAATAAGATAGATAAAATATTTTTTAAATCAAAATTTCGTTAGAAAACCTATAAATTTTATTATTCGTCGTCATAGAAGACACTTTCAAAAATGACGTATCTGAATTGCAAGTTTGTTGTACAAACGGTACGTCCTGTAGAGCTCTTTGCAAACACAAACTTTCCGAGACTGTTTTCACTCATAAGCACACTTTACATATAGCATATATAGCTAAAATAATTTTTAAATTAAAATTTTGTTAGAAAACCTATCAATTTTATTATTTATTATCATAAAAGACATTTCCATGAATAACATATAGAAATTTTAAGGCTGTAGTACAAACTCCAACACTGATTTCACCCATAAGCACACATTACATATGGCATATACAACTAAAATAATTTTTAAATCAAAATTTTGTTAGAAAACCTATAAATTTTATTATCTATTGTCATAAAAGAAACTTTTAAGAATAACATATATAAATTTCAAAGCTGTAGTGCCAACGGTACGTCCTGTAGAGCTTTCAGAAAATATTTACCCTCCGAGACTGATTTCACCCATAAGCACACATTACATATGGCATATACAACTAAAATAATTTTTAAATCAAAATTTTGTTAGAAAACCTATAAATTTTATTATCAATTATCATAAAAGAAACTTTTAAGAATAACATATGAAAATTTCAAGGCTTTAGTGCAAACGGTAAGTCCTGTAGAGCTTTCAGAAAATATTTACCCTCCTAGACTGATTTTACCCATAATCACACTTGACATATCACATATACAGCTAAATTCTATTTTAAATCAAAATTTTGTTCGGAAACCTATCAATTTTAATATTTGTTATCATAGTAGAGACTTAAAAAAATGACATATCTTAATTACAAGTATGTAGTACAAACGGTACGTCCTATAGAGCTCTCAGAAAATATTTACTCTTCGAGACTGATTTCTCCCATAAACACACTTTACATATGGCATATATAGATGATTTATTTTTAAATAAAAATTTTGTTAGAAAACCTATAAATTTTATTATCTATTATTATAAAAGAAACTTTTAAGAATAACATATAAAAATTTCAAGGCTTTAGTGCAAACGGTACGTCCTGTAGAGCTTTCAGAAAATATTTACCCTCCCAGACTGACTTTACCCATAATCACACTTTACATATCGCATATACAGCTAAACTTTATTTTAAATCAAAATTTTGTTAAAAAACCTATCAGTTTTAATATTTGATATCATAGTAGAGACTTAAAAAAATGATATCAAACGGTACGTCCTGTAGAGCTCTTCGAAAATACAAGTGAATGCCATGAATCATTTCACCCATAAGCACACCTCACATATAGTATATGTAGTTAAAATATTTTTAAATCAAAATTTTGTTAGAAAAACCTATAAATTTTATTATTTGTTGTCATAAAAGACACTTTCAGGAATGAGATATGTGAATTGCAAGATTGTAGTGCAAACGGTACATCCTGTAGAGCTCTTCGAAAATACAAATTTACCATGAATCATTTCACCCATAAGCACACTCTACATATAGCATATGAAGCTAAAATATTTTTTAAATCAAAATTTTGTTACAAAACCTATCAATTTTAGTATTTGTAGTCATAATAGAAACTTTAAAGAATAACATATGTGAATTTCAAGGCTGTAGTACGAACGGTACGTCCTGTAGAGCTCTTTGAAAATACTAGTCCTACGAAAGTCATTTCACACATAGAACATTTTTTCATATAGAAAATGCTACTATACCAGTTTAGTAATTTGTCTAAATTGGTTGTAAGGTGTAAATTGTCTTGGTTGATGATTTTGTAGATTGAAGTTGTCTTTGGTGATTGTCTTGTAGATGGAAATTGTCTTTGGTGGTTGTCTTGTTAAAGAAAATTGTCTTTGTTGGTTTTCTTAGAGATGTAAGTTGTCTTGGTTTGTTGTCTCTTATAGGAAAATTGTTTTAGGGAGCGTCAATTAATCACGTAACCGATTTTTTAGAAATTTTTTGGCCCCCTGTTCGCCTTGGTGATATTTAAAATTACCCCTCAACCCTTCCTTCCCCTCCAAACATCAGGTGTACTTTTGGTTTGAAGAAAAAATCGTTAAATTTTTGTTGGTTTGAAAAATATTTAGATTTTTTTTAAAATTCATGTAAAAAATAAATACGCGTGATATCTTACTATATCCCTCTCTCCTCCACGTAATATTTTGTGATATTTTGTTAAATCCTCATGAGATTAATGGACGCCCCCTTACCTTATTTTGTTGTATGACATCTCCATCCGATCTCTGAGCTCGACTACTTTATCGAAAGTTTCACAATCTGCATCCCTCATTACAGCCATACAAATTGCAAAAATGGTATCCGGACTTATCTTTCTTTTCCCGGTTAAAAGATCATCAAATCTGCAAATATTTAACACAGAAAAATTTGTAAGTTGATCTCATGTTTATATTATATTTACCTAGATTTGGCCTCTTCAGTAGCTTCTTTATCCTCAAACTCAACAAGCATATTCAGAATCAAATTCCCTCAAATTCCCTTGAAGATAAGTTTCGCACGGATTAGGGTCCCAGCTGACCCTTTTCCTGATTTTGCAATACAAATCCAAAACATAATTCCTAAATTCATTTTTGAGATCCGTATAAGACACCAGAGTAGATATGGATCTCAGAATCGATCCTATTGAATCCCATACAAAAGTACTGTCGTCGTTTTTGTAGGAACTTAGGAACTTCAGAAACTGGAAAAATAAACACTAACTAGTGGTGTATGGCATCGTGCCTTAAGGCAAATTGCTGGAACTTCCCGTACCGTAATATTCGAGAAATTTTAAACGTTTTCAAATATATTATTACAAATACTGTAACCTTCATTATTTTTGCTATCTTGTTATATCTGAGCAAATCAAATGTAAATCATAAATCATAAATCAATTTATCTCCAGAACATTAACAATCGTCATTTCATTTCGAATTCAATTTCAAAAAAAATAGTTGCCTTAATTTTGCACAAAATTGAAAAATTGCTCCCGTATAGTCACAGTCTAAACGCATTTGCAAATAATTCTGTGCGGCATTTTCACTTGTACTGTGCTTAGCTTGGCGGCATTTTCACATTTTTTAATAGTTTTCACAAAATTGGAAAAGTGCTCCGGTATAAAAACAGTCTAAAGGCACTTGGGTAAACATTTGTACCAGAGTGGCGCTTAGACTGTGCTTAGCCTGGGTGATTTTTGAAATTTTTCATCCAAAATTACAAATTTTTTTTATGAAAAATAAAAAAAGATGTAATGATATTTTACATGCAAGTTATAGTAATCGCAAAAAAATCGAAAATCAAATTTTTTATACATCTTTACGTTTCAAAGGTTTCTGAATATTTTGGCATTCTTTAGAAAAAATGAATGTATGTGTGTGTGTGTATGTGTGTGCGGATACAAATTTTGTCGACGATTTCAAGAACACCGATCAACCGATTTAAATAATTCAAAAAACATTCGATAAGGAGACGGGCTGATTAGTTTTTGGCGAAGTCAGGTTCTAGTTGAAGATATGGGGCAAAAAGTGCCAAAAACGATAACTCAATTTTTGAGGGAACGGAGCGTCCGATTTGAATAATTCAAATAACATTGTACTTGTATTAACAAGATGAAAAATTGATTAATAAGTATAAATTTTGTTTACATTTCTATGGGTTCCGTACCAATGTTTACGCGTTAGACGGCGACGCGGCGCTTACGCGCTTCGATATTATCTTGCATTTAAAAGAGTACGATTGCTTTGAAAAAAAGTTCAGAATTTCCAAAATATTTCAAAATACCCTTATCTTCAAAAAGTCTATTTTTTCAAAAAAAAGTAAATTTTTGTCAAAAATTTATAGTTTCTCAAAAATCTAATTTTTCAGAGTAAATTTCTTTCAAACATATTAATCTTTTTAAAAAAAATAATTTTTGGTACGGGAAGTTCTAGTAATTTGCCCTAAGGCACGATGCCATGCGCCCCACTAGTTAATCCAAAATTACAAACATATTTTATGGAAAATAAAAAAAGATGTAATAATTTTTTATCCTCAAAAGCAATTGTTTTGTCAATACAAGCGGAAAGTTTTTTAGATCATTCAAATTTAGTTCACTTAAAAACTGCCATTTTTTGCACATTTAGCTCTGTATCTCCGTAACGGCTGGACCTGTCTTTGTCTAAAACTAAACAGCACATCTCCCTATGTATAGAAATCGAATGTTTTTTTAACCATTCAAGTCGGTTGATCCGTGGGCCCGAAAACGTGGACGAAAAAATGCGGACATACAAAACACATACACACACACATACACACATCCATTTTTCTGAGGTATGCCAAAATGTTCAGAAACCTTCAAAACGTCGAGAGATGCAAAAATTTTCATTTTTGATTTTCGGACTATTACTATAACTACCCTACGGGAAGTTAATAACATAAATATTTTATCATTATTACCGTTTCCATAGATCTTCTGTTAGATGTTGACATGGCATTCAAATCGTGCAGCAAACCAATTCTGTCCAAAACTGGCATGGATAAATCTTCTATTGCTGGAATTAATTTATCCAGCATTTGAGGATGATACTGAACTCTATAGTAGTCCATGGTTCCTGGATTTAATTTTACCCAATCGCATGGTGTCATGTCTTCAATTGTGACACATATTGATGAACTGTCCATTATAGTACTAACAGTTGACTAGAATAGAAAAGTTAAATAAAAATACAATTTTGGAGATTGTAAGAATTTTTTAGTATTTTTTTACCCCACAGAGACATTTAGAAGTGAGCACCGAAATTGGTATAATCCACTGTGTATCTGGTACCTCCTGGTCAGTATCTTTGGTGAAGACTTCTTGGGTGATTTTGATAACTCTTTTATTTTCACTTTGGTTTTCGGAAATTGTCAACAAAGGGTAACCCGGTTGGTCAACCCATGTGCTCATCATAGCAGCTGAAAAAAATTTTGCATTGGAATCTTCTTATATTAGGTTGTCAAATATCTCCCTTCCGCCTTTTTGTATTATAAACCAATAGCAAAAAAGCGGAAGGGAGATATTTGACAACCTAATATATAAAAATGAATCGCAAAATGTGTTAGTAAGCGCATAACTCAACAACGCCTCGACCAATTTGGCCAATTCTATTTTTTTTAATGTTCGTTCAAATCTAAGGATGGTTCTTACGGCGAGAAAAAATCGAATAATTGCCGGAAAAACCCTAAAAACAGCCCTTGTCTTTTTCACATACAAACGTTTCCTAACTAAAACGTAGAATCAATTTGAGCTTTATTGCTATTATATAAAGCTCATATTAAATTACAAGAACTCGCTATATACTTCTTCTAAACGATTAATCGGATTTTGATAAATCTTTCTGAAGTTTGTTCAGAAAATTTTCTAGGATGTGTGTGATTATAAAGTACTGGAATGCATGTGCAATATTGTATAAATAAATGAAAAAAATTACAAAAAACAGCATGTCATTGTTTGCATTGAAAACAAATGAAAACTATCATCTGCCAAAAATTCCAATTTACTTATGAACCTAGACAATATTAGAATATATATAATAAATTTATGATTATGAATAAGAAAAATGAAATGTCTACATTTTTATTGCCAAAAAGCAGCTGAGATGTTCCAGAAATTAAAATAATATGGTATACAGTATATGATGGCAGATTGAATGATACACATATGAACATGATATGACAAATTAATTCACTTCAAATATGAAATGAAGTATTAATCAGGGCCGGTCCTACCTTTAATGCGATGCATGCGGAAAATACGAGTGCACGCTTTAGGGGGCGCCAACACAAGATTCGGATATTAAATTTTCAATATAGTTTTTTGTTCAATATATAATTTTTTTGCATCTTTTACTAATCTTTCCACAATATTTTTAAAATTCGTAAAAATTTCACTTTATAACAACAAATGGGAAAGTAAAGATGAATGCATACAATTCGGCCATCACGATATCGATTGGGAGAAGTTTAAGATGCAATTTTGGATATATTAAATAATAAAAAATTTATTTAATTTAATCCAACATGAAGTACCAGTGTAATGTAATGTTATGGTTATGTTATACCGTTTAAAAGACGTTTAAATTTCCAATATAGTGTGAGAATTGAGACTCATCATTTTATTTAAAGCAGTTCTACAATTAACATCGCTCATATTATAAATGCATATGCATTTTGGCGTGAATAGTAATTTAAAAGACAATAATTATAATTTTTAGGTAAACGGTAAATATTAGTATATTATATTAGAAATTGTAGACATGGGTACAGGACAATGTCTGTCGGGTCATCTAGTTATGAATAAATCACTACAAATTTTATGGTTACCTATGGGTTTTCCACTGGCTTCTCCCAAAGCTCGCCAAAGATCAGACGTTTCGGCGTTTTTGAACTTGTGTGTCTTCAGATAATTTTTGATGCCTTTATTGAAATCCTCACCGCCCATAAAGTTTCTGAGCATTCTCAGGACTGTACCGCCTTTTTGGTACGTGATGGAGTCAAACATTCTGACTATTTCTGCAGTAGGACCAGCCTAAAATGTAATGAAATTAGGTGATATTTTTTATTCTTATGGGGCAATTCTGCCATAACAGAACTCATAACATAACGTTGTCATGGCAACGCTATTTTATCTTAAGCTTATGCAGTGAAAATTGTGAAAATGTTTATCGCGCGATCTGGCGCATTTTGCATATAAACAATGCGATTTTTACAATTTTCACTGCTAATTTTTCTATTATGGCCGAATTGCCCCTCAATTACATTTTTAACTTCCCGTAGGGTAGTTATAGTAATGGGCCAAAAATCGAAAATGAAAATTTTTGCATTTCTCGACGTTTTGAAGGTTTCTGAACATTTTGGCGAAAAAATGGACGTGTATGTGTGTGCGTGTGTTTTGTATGTCCGCATTTTTTCGTCCACGTTTTCGGGCGCACGGATCAACCGATTTGAATAGTTTAAAAAACATTCGATTCCTATTGATAGGGAGATGTGCTGATTAGTTTTTGGCAAAGGCAGGTCCAGCAGTTACAGAGATATGGAACAAAGAGTGCGGAAAATAGAAATCGAGTTTTTGAGAGAACGGAGTATCGGATTTGAATGATTTAAAAAACTTTCAATTCGTAATGATTGGGTGAAGAGGTGATTAGTTTTTGGCAAAGACAGGTCCCGCCATTTCGAAGATACAGAGCTAAATGCGCAAAAAATGGCAGTTTTTGAATGAACTAATGATCTAAAAAACTTTCTGCTCGTATTGACAAAACAATTTGCTTTTGAGGATAAAAATTGATTACATCTTTTTTTATTTTCCATAAAATATTTTTGTAATTTTGGATTAAAAATCAAAAAAATTACCCAGACTAAGCACAGTCTAAGCGCCACTCTGGTACAAATGTTTACCCAAGTGCGTTTAGACTGTTTATGTCGGAGCACTTTTCCAGTTTTGTGAAACTATTGAAAAATGCGAAAATGCCGCCAAGCTAAGCACGGTATAAGTGAAAATGTCGCACAGAATTATTTGCAAATGCGTTTAGACTGTGACTGTACGGGAGCACTTTTTCAATTTTGTGCAAAATTTAGGCAACTATTTTTTTTTTAAATTGAATTCGAAATGAAATGACGATTGTTCGAAATGTTCTGGAGATAAATTGATTTATGATTTACATTTGATTTGCTCAGATAAAACAAGATAGCAAAAATGATGAAAATTACAGTATTTGTAATAATATATTAGGTTGTCAAATATCTCCCTTCCGCTTTTTTGCTCTTGGTTTATAATACAAAAAGGCGGAAAGGAGATATTTGACAACCTATTATTTGAAAACGTTTAAAATTTCTCGAATATTTCATTACGGTACGGGAAGTTTGAGCAATTTGCCTTAAGGCACGATGCTATACACCACTAGTTTTAATTTTTTATTACATTTCGCACAATCGGATGAGTATTCGGCACCACATCAGCAGACATTGCAGAATAAAAAGTCGTGGTCAAAAATTCCGTCCAAGCCTCGAATTCAGGATTTGTGCAATGTTTGCCCAATTGCGAATAAAACGTGGCAAAACCTTCGTTGAGCCACAAATGATTCCACCTTGAAATAAAACAAAAATGAGCTATGTTTTTACCCAAAATCTGTATGTTTTATTACCATTTCATGGTTACTAAATTCCCGAACCACATGTGTGCCAATTCGTGAATAACGACTTCAGCGATATCAGTTTTGACGTAGACTGGAGATTCTTCTTCGTTATATAATAAATATATATCTCTAGAAATAAATATAAATCACATAGTGCAATATAGTGCTAAAGTATTTTTATATTTTTACTTGAATATAACAAGTCCCCAATTCTCCATAGCACCAGCGCCAAAAGTGGTGCTCGGTACCATATCCAATTTGGGCAAATGGTAAGGTTCATCAAAAAGTTCCGAAAATGTGTTTAAACATTTGACGCCGATTTCCATGGCCATCTGGCCTTGTCTTTTTTTGAACTGGGGCGTGTAGACTCTCACCTAAGGGAAAAAATAATAAAAATTCGAAAGTTTTCATCAAAACTGTTATAGATTACTAATGTAACTTTTCATACTTATATAAGTTAGTTGAAGCAAATATATATATATATATAATATATAATATATATATATATATATAATATATATATATATATATATATTAACAAAGTCTAATAATCGGGCATAACATCAATAAAAAACGTTTTTTTATTGATGTTATGCCCGATTATTAGACTTTGTTAATACATATGTCAACATCAAATTCAGAATCATACAAAATATATATATATATATATGCAAATAATATTATATTATGATAGTATAATGATATTCCCAGAATAGGTGTATACAATTTGTATCTTTATGTAAAAGTCAATGTATGTATTCAAGTCAAATAAAGCAAATTTTCACATTAATTTTCTTTAAAACTTTTTTTAATAATTGTCGTTATCAAATATTTGAAATTTAAAAAAAGTTCTCGTAAAGTCTCATTTGCGAATATTGTTGTCGAGGTTTCCACTTAGACTGTGCTTAACCGCAATATTTTTTAGCAATAATTTTTGCACAAAGTTGAAAAAGTGCTCGATACAGTAACAGTCTAAACGCACTTGCCAATAAATTTGTGCGAAGATGTCACTTAGACTGTTGATATATTGGCATATTTTTCATTTTTTAACTTGTGTAAGGTAAGTTATTGTCATCGTCAAAAAATCGAAATTGAAAATTGTTGCATATCATTAGGTTTCAGAGGTTTCTGAACATTTTGGCATACCTCACAAAAAATGGATGTGCGTGTGTGTGTGTGTGTATGTATGTACGGATACAATTTTTAGTCCACGTTTTTGGGCGCACAGATCAACCGATTTGAATTATTCATTTACCATTCGATTCCTATTGATAGGGAGATGTGCTGTTTAGTTTTTGGCAGAGGCAGGTCCAGTAGTTTTGGAGTAACAGGGCAAAGAGTGCAGAAAATAGAAACTGAGTTTTTGAGAGAACAGAGCATCCAATTTGAATGATTCAAAAAACATACAGTTTGTAATAATGGGAAAAAGTGGTGATTTGTTTTTGGTAAAGGCAGGTCTAGCCGTTTCGGAGATACGGAGCAAAATGTGCAAAAAATGGCTGTTTTCGAGAGAACTGAGCATCCGATTTGAATGATTCAAAAAACTTTCTGCTTCTGTTGACGAAACGATTTTTTTGGGAAAAGAAAAATAAAAGTTTATATTCAATTTTTGTTTTAATTTCCAATTTTTTTTAAATATCAAAATTTATTCAGATTTTTAAAATTTTAATTCGGTACGGAAACTTTCTGCAATTTACCTCAAGGCACGATTTTTTTGAAATTATTTTCAAAAAGTGGTCCAGTAAAGTAACATTCTAAACGCACTTGCAAAAACAATTGTTCTGAATTGTCACTTAGACTGTGAGTTCCATTTTTATCTTTGTCTAGAATATTTAACAATTTGCTCCAGTAGAGTTCCTTTTATGTCCTTCATTTTTTAATTATATTCTCGTTAGTAGAGTCCTTTTCATATTCTTTTCTGGATTACTTAATTTTGAAAAATATTATCTTTTTGTTCATAGACTTCAATTATAGACTAATTTATTTTGTTTGCTCGTCAGTTAAGTTCTTTTTTATATTGTTAAAAGTTTATTTTTTATCTCAGTTTAATTTACTCGTTAGTAGAGTTTTTATTTATTTGATTTTTCGTTTGCTTGTCAGTAGAGTTTCATTTTTGTTTTTCTCAACAGTTTGCTTGTAAGTAGAGTTCCTTTTCAATGTTTTTTCTAGATTATTTAATAGTTTACTCATCAGTAGAGTCCCTTTTATATTTTTTTCTGCATTATTTAACAATTGGCTTGAGCTTAGTCTTGGCATTTTTTACGTTTTTTAACATAATTCTTAAATTTCACAATATGGAAAAAATGCTTCCGTCTAATCACAATCTAAACGTACTTGCAAAAACATTTGTTCGAGTTTGTCCCTTAGACTGTGCCTAATTATGGCACTTTTAACGTTTTTTAAGATATTTTTTTAATTTTTACAAAATTGAAAATGTGCTACAGTAAAGTCGCAATCTAAACGTACTTGCGAAAACATTTGTTCGATGTTGTCTCTTTGACTGTGCTAAGTACTGACATTTTTCACGTTTTTTAAGTATTTTTTTAATTTTCACAAAATTGAAAAGGTGCTCCTATAAAGTCACATTCTAAACGCACTTGCGCAAACATTTGTTCGAGGTTGTCTCTTAGGCTGTGCCTAGTTAGGCATTTTTTACGTTTTTTAACACATTTTTTAATTTTCACAAAAAAGTTACAATCTAAAGGTACTTGCGAATATCGTTGTTCAAGATTGCTACTTATACTGTGCTTAGACGGTAATATTCTTCAGCAATAATTTTTGCACAAAATTGAAAAAGTGTTCCAGTACAGACACAATCTAAACGCACTTGCTAAAACATTTATTTGAGGTCGTTTTTCAACAGCTTTTTTATTAATTTTTTTATTTTCACAAAATTAAGAAATACTCCTTTAAAGTCACATTCTAAACGCACTTGCAAATATATTTGTGCGACGTAGCCACTTAGACTGTTGATGTACGGGCATATTTTTCATTTTTTTAAATAATTTTGCAATACGTGGAAAAACCTTGCAATTTTCACAATTTTCAACAGGATTTTTTTTTGCAAATTATAAGCGAAGGTTAATATACATGCTACAGTTAGTGGCGCCTCTATGGAGTGCGTAAACAGCTAAAATTGATGTATTGTACTTACCTTGACACCTTTTTTGGTACATCCTTCCACAAAATCAAATTTGCCAACGACTATGGCTAATAAATAGGTTGACATTAGAGGAGTTCTGTTGAATCTTACAGTTTTGCAACCGCATTTTACCTAAAAATACATTTTTAAATAAACCACATTTTATTTATCTGGTTTTAACACGTTAATTGCAACGATAGGATAGAAAAAAATTAGACATAGGCCATGGTAACTTTAATAAATAATTCAATTAAAAATTTAGCATCAAGAAAACTTAAGGAATCAGAGAAAACATTTTTTTGTGATTGATATCTCAAATTTTAGAGTTAGATTAGAAGGGACTCTACTGACAAGCAAACTGTTAGGTTGAATCCAGACTTTAAAAAATAATTCTCTTGAACAAAGTTTTAACAAAAGGACTTTACTGATAAGCAAGCTGTTAAACTAAATTTAGACTTTATAAAGAATCCTCTATTTTGCAAATTTGGACAAAGTTTTAACAAAGTGACTCTACTGACAAGCAAACTGTTAAACTGAATTCAGATTTTTTAAAAGAATCCTTTATTTTAAAAATTGAGACAGAACTTAAACAAAAGGACTCTACTGACAAAAAAACTGTTTAACTGAATTTATACTTTATAAAAAATCCTCTTTTTTCAAAATTTGGATAAATTTTCACAAAAGGACTCTACTGACAAGCAAACTGTATAAATGATTTCTTTATTTTGAAAATTGGGACAACAAAGTTTTAACAAAAGGACTTTTCTGACAAGAAATCTGATTTTAGATTTCAAAAAAGACTCTACCGACGAGGAAACTTCTTCTAGATTACAAAAGGACTCTACTGACAGACTTCTTCTAGATTAAAAAAGGACTCTACCGACGAGGAAACTTCTTCTAGATTAAAAAAGGACTTTACTGGCTCTTACTAAAAAGAACTTTATTGACACACAGACTAGTTTCTGATTTCAGAAAAGGACTCTACTGATGAGCAAACTGCTCGTAGATTTGAAAAAAAGGACTCTACTTACAAGCAATTTTGTTTTAGATTTAATAAAGGACTGTTCTGACAAACAAACAGGTTTTGAATTTAAAAAGAATTCTATTAACAAAAAACAAGTTTTAGATTTCAAAAAAGGACTTTACTGAGAAGCATACAGGTTTTAAATTAAATAAGGACGTTACTGACAAACAAAGTAGTTTCAGATTCCCAAAAAAGGACTCTACTGACAAACAAACTGGTTTAAGATTTCGAAAGAAGGACTCTACTGACGAGCAACCTGTTTCTTTTTCAAAAAAGGACTCTTCTGACGAGCAAACTGGTTTTAGATTTAAAAAAAGGACTCTACTAACAAAAAACAGCTTTTAGATTTCAAAAAGGACTCTACTGACGAGCAAACTTGCTTTAGATCCCAAAAAGGACTCTACTGACACTCAATATTAGTTAGATCCTTTTTGCCAAATCACAATTTTATATGTCACATATATGACTATCATGGCCCTGTCTTAAAACTTTTTTTTCCTACGTGCGTCAGCTATCTCTTGACAACTGACATGGCAATTAACGTGTTAAAAATAATTTAAAATTTACTTCCTCTTCTTGGACATCCATATTGGACAAAGCCAGGTAACATTGTGGAACTTTGAGGACGACATCAAATGTTGCCTTAAGGGAAGGTTCGTCGAAACAGGGAAAGGCTTCTCGGGCTGCATTTGGCTCGAAGTGGCTTATGATACTTGTGTCGTTTCTAAAAAATAAATATATAAATAGAATAAGGTGCAAATGGTGTTTTCATTGTTTTCTATTTACCCTTTGGGTGTGATGGTGGTGCTTTTAAATATCCCTTTGACAGTATCTGTGAAGTCTTTGGTGTATTCCAATTTCAAACAGGCTCCTCCTTCACGAATGCAATTTTTAAATAATATTGTAGCACGTTCTTCTTCTTCACTGTAGCAAATGTCTTCTGTAGACTCACAACCTTCATAAAAATATTAAATTTAGTAAATTTTGGAATTAGAATTTATTCAAATTTCCCATACCTTCTGAATGGTTCAAAGTTGCATTTTTGATGACCGGTCCGAGACAATTTAGAACTACACGACTTGTTTTTTCTTTTATCTACAAATCAAACAAATTATAATTTTAAATATCTATTTTTAGTTACCTAGTTTTAGTAGTTACCTGTAAATTTATGGATGTTTTTCCTTTAAAACTGTTTGCACAGGGATCTATTTCAAATTCGCAGAGATAATGCTCTGGAACAATATTTGTTGGAAGTCGTTCGAATGTTGAAGACATTTTGGTGTTGATTTTTTTTAAATCAATACATTTTAACTAAAATAAACACAATTTAAGAATTATAGCAAGTACATAAAACATAAAAAAAAAATTAAAATTGAATCAATACACTCCTTTTCTATCGTCATTCTGTAAAAAACTTTTTATTGGATGTTGTTTGAAATACCACATTTTGAAAATTTTGATGACTTTTGACATATTCTTTTAGAACAACATTTTTACATACAATAACTAGAACAAGAAAAATGATTTTAAGTCATGCCAATAAACTTTTTTCAATTTCCATTAATGTAAATAATTTTATCAGTACATGTAATTTATTTACATTTACATTAAAGTGTATCAAATACTTTTCATTTGATATTTTAGCATTTTTAATCACTAAGTCTTGTAGTTTTTAAAACTACTCAAATAAAAATGGTACTTACCTTTTTCGATTTTTTTTTGTATTTTTATAGTATTATTATTTAATATAAAATCTTTATCAAATCATTTTTGTAAATTTAGATACACTAAAAATTTTGAAAAAAATGTCAATTTTGCAATAATAATTCTAATGTCAAATTGACATTTAATATTAGTTACTAGATATTTATAAAATATTATTGGCGTATTTTTAAAATGTCTAAATACTTATTTTCATAAATATTTTTATTGGGTTTTTCTTGTATAGCGAAGGAAATAAATTTATGCATTTTAGACTTGGTCTTTTGTCTGGGTATGTCGGACTTAATTCCGCCTGGGTATAATACCGAAGAAAATGCTTTTGGCCATGTCACACTAGGTCTTTTGTTTGGGTATGTCGGACTCAATACCGGGCATAATACCGAAAGAAATGCATTTATGCATCTCAGAAATATCAGAATTAATACCACCTGGGTATAATACCGACTAAAACCTCCGCCCAGACAAAAGACCTAGTCTGAGATGCATAAATGCATTTCCTTCGATACTATGACCGGTATTGAGTCCGACATACCCAAACAAAAGACCTAGTGTGAGAATGCCCAAAAGCGTTTTTTTCGATATTATACCCAGGCGGAATTGAGTCCGACATACCCAGACAAAAGACCTAGTCTGGAACTCATAAATTTTTTGTATACCTTCGCTATTCAAGAAAAACCAACACGTCTTCCCATCAATAAAAATCCTGATGAGTCTAAAGAAGTTTTACTTCAAAATTTTTTGATTGTACTGTTTATCGCTTGTTGGGTATCGTTTAAAAAGTCTCGATGAGTAGAAAACTATATTCACAAAAAAATTATATTGTAAAAAAACGTTATATACATAACCGTATTTTATTGAAAAAAATCTACAAATTTTAAAATTTACTGTTTTTTTTTAATAATTGAGATGTAAAACGTTTGTATGTGATTTGTGTCCACAAAATGTACACTTTTCACGAATTTGTAGAAGCGGAGCCTAAAGAAGTTTTACTTCAAAATTTTTGATGGCTACTTTTATGGCATGTGTGGTATCGTTTGAAAGGTCTCAACGAGTAGAAAATAATTTTCGCAAAAAAAATATATTGTGATAAAACCGTTATAAGTGATTTGTGTCCTCAAAATGTAAATTTTTTTCGCATTTGTAGTAGAGAAGTCTAAAGTAGTTTTACTTCAAAATTTTTTGATTTATATTATTTATGGCATGCATGGTATCGTTTGAAATAGCATGCATGGTATCGACGAGTAGAAAACGAATTTTTACAAAAAAATATTATATTGTAATAAAAACGATATAAAAAATTGTATCCACATATACATATACACTCATACATACATACTTAGAAAGCTCAGAAACTTTTGAAACATGAAGATATTCAAAAACTTTCGATTTTCGATGTTTTTGTGAACTTAGCTTAAAAGAAGTCATAAATATTTTCATAACTTAAAAAAAGCATAAATTGTTTTAACTAATTAACTTGTTTAATTAATCAGCAATCTTTATATTTTTAAATTCTGTGTAATATAATTCATATTCATCAATCAGTTCTTATTTTTCAAAAAACTCAATTCCTGACAGGTCTGCTTCAAAGCCTTGGCCCTTGCCCTAATCCCTTCGACTGCTGCAGCAATTGCAGTTGCTGCTTCTGGCATCGGATTTTCCTTAAAATGACACTCGATCTCATTCGCCTTGGATTCGCAGGCGAATTTATCAATCAGCATTTTCACCACAAAACCTGATAAAGGACAATCGAGATGAGACACAAAAATTTTAAAGGTAAGTCAAAAAATAATTATTTTTTTCTCACCTGTTCGGACTTTCGATTTGTACATTTTGGCAATTTGCTGCTGGTTGTCTTTCACAAATTTCCAACATAAGGTTCGTCCTCGAGACGTGTCGCAAATATGTGGCAGAAGGTGCTCGAATTCGTCCTCACGACTTAGGCCGTAGTCTAGTACTTTTTGGATTACTTCGTCGTTTTGGGCAAAACTCATTGCGTTCAGAATTCTATAAAAAAAACATAAAAACAAGTTGTAAATAGCACTTTGCCTTAAGGCAAGTCGCATAAACTCTTCCCGCCGATACGTACAAATGCTCGAAATACTTATGAAATACTCTTTGAATGAACTTATAGTAAACGAGCTTAAAGAAGTTTTACTTCAAAAATTTTTGATGGTTACTTTTATGGCATGTGGGGTATCATTTGAAAGGTCTTTTTGAATAGAATCCGAATACTAAAAGTAACTATGTGATTTGTTAACAAAATATACACTTTTCACGAATTTGTAGTAGGCGAGTCTAAAGAAGTTTTACTTCAAAAATTTTTGATGTTACTTTTACGCATGCGGGGTCTCATTTGAAAGGTCTTTTTGGATAGAATCCGAATACTAACAAAAGTGATTTGTTAACAAAATATACACTTTTTACGAATTTGTAGCAGACGAGCCTAAAGAAGTTTTACTTCAAAAAATGCATTCAGGATTCTATAGAAAAACATAAAAACAAGTTGTGAGTAGCATCTTTTCGCAAGACATTGACTATATACCCACAATAAACAATTTTTAGACTACGAGCTTAAAGAAGTTTTACTTCAAAAATTAAAATTGTGTCACTTTGGCATGTTGGGTATCGTTTGAAAGGTCTTTTTGAATAGAATCCGAATACTAAAAGTAACTATGAGATTTGTTCACAAAATATACACTTTTCACGAATTTGTAGCAGACGAGCTTAAAGAAGTTTTACTTCAAAAAATGCATTCAGGATTTTTAAGAAAAACGTAAAAACAAGTTGTGAGTAGCATTTTGCCCCAAGACATTGACCCGATACCCAACATAATCAATTTTTAGATTACGAGCTTAAAGAAGTTTTACATCAAAAAATTAAAATTGTGTTACTTTGGCATGTTTGATATCGTTTGAAAGCTCTTTTTGAATAGAAACCGAATGCTAAAAGTAACTATGTGATACGTTCGCAAAATATACATTTTTTCGAATTTATAGTAGATGAGTCTAAAAAAGTTTTACTTCAAATTTTTTTGATTGTATTTTTTGTAGCTTGTTGGGTATCGTTTGAAAGGTCTTTTTAAATAGAATCCGAATACTAAAAGTAACTATGTGATTTGTTCACAAAATATACACTTTTTACGAATTTGTAGTAAATGAGCTTAAGAAGTTTTATTTCAAAATATTAAAATTGAATTACTTTGGCATGTTGGGTATCGTTTGAAAGGTCTTTTTGAATAGAATCCGAATACTAAAAGTAACTATGTTATTTGTTAACAAAATATACACTTTTCACGAATTTGTAGTAGACCAGTCTAAAGAAGTTTTACTTCAAAATATTAAAATTGGGTTTTTTGGCACGTTGGGTATCGTTTGATAGGTCCTTTTGTATAGAATCCGTAAACTAAAAGTAACTATGTGATTTTTTAACAAAATATACACTTTTTACGAATTTGTAGTAGACGAGTCTAAAAAAGTTTTACTTCAATAATTCTTGATGGTTACTTTTATGGCATGTGGGGTATCGTTTAAAAGGTCTCGACAACTAGAATACGATTTTAATTTTAAAAATGATTATACTGGGACAAAAACGTTTATACATCATCATAATCTATTGTAAAAATATTGAAATTTTAAAATTTTATTAAATTACATGAAATTTCATCAAAAGTTCGAAGATTTTTATTTAATAATTGAGGTGTAAAACTGTTTTTGCACTTTTGTATACAAATTACACCCTTTTTACAAATATGTAGAAAATGAGCCTAAAGAAGTTTTACTTCAAAAATTTTTGAGGGCTATTTTTATGGCATGTGGGGTATTATTTAAAAGGTCTCGACGAGTAAAAAACGATTTTCACACAAAAAATAATAATATTGTAATAAAAACGTTATATACATAACCGTATTTTATTGCAAAAATATTAGAGTGTTAAAATTTATTGATTTTTTCGTAATAATTTAGATGTAATACTTTTTTATATGCTTTTATACACATAATGTAGACTTTTTACGAATTCAAAACAGATGAGTCTAAAGAAGTTTTACTTCAAAAATTGCTGATAGTATCTTTTATGGCATGTGGGGTATCATTTGAAAGGTTTTTTTTAATAGAATCCGAATATCAAAAAAGTTTTCAAATTTAGCAATAATTCTGAAAAAAACATTAATTTTACAGTATAAATAATTTTTGTCTTCATTTTACTAATATAAGTCGTATCATAATACTTGATCATTTACAAAAATAAATTATATAACAATTGTAAAAACAAGTTTGATTGTGTATTACGTGCAAATTACTGTTTTAGATTTACCTTGAGGCAAAGTTGCACTTTTAGAATAATGAAAATACAGAAATTCAAGAGGAATTCAATAACATTACCAACAAATACTAAATTCGTCATCTACTCTTCGAGCCCTTTCAAATATATCACATGCAAATTACTGTTCGAGATTTGCCTTGAGGCAAGTTGCACTTTAAGTTACTAAAAAACTGCAGAAAATCATGACAATTCAATAAAATTAAAAACAAATACTAAATTCGTATTCTGCTCTTCGAGCCCTTTCAAATGATATGTCACATGCAAATTAGTGTTCGAGATTTGCCTTCAGGCAAGTTGCACTTTGGGTTGATATGAATTTTCTAGAGAATTGTAGTATACTATAATGAAAAACTGCTAACTCTTCGAGACCTTTCAAATGATACGTCACATGAAAATTAGTGTTCGAGATTTGCCTTGGGGCAAGTTGCACTTTTGCTTAATACGAAACCAAAGAGAATTATTTTAAATAACTAATTAAAATTGACAACAAATACTAAACTCGCATTCTACTCTTAGAGCCCTTTCAAATGATACGTCACATGCAAATTTGTGTTCGAGATTTGCCTTGAGGCAAGTTGCACGTTGAAGTAGTACCAGACGTTTTTTTAAAAACGAATAGAAGGATATAGTTCAAAAATAGTACTTACTTATGTTTGGTGAAGTTAGTCTTCATCTGATCCTTAATTTTGACGACTTGATCAAAAGTTGCACAATCTGCTGTTTTCATCACCCCTATCATCAAGGGATGCATTATATCAGGGCTGATTTTTTGGTCATCACGAATTGTTTGTTTAAATCTTAAAAAAAGTAAAACACCTAGTAAATAAATCTTATGTTTAAATTCCAATTATGTTTTATTTATTACCTGTTTTTTGCCTTCTCGATAGTTTCCTCGTCTTCAAATTCAACAAGACAAGTCAAAATCAAATCCCTCATTTTAGTTATGGAAAAGGGCTCACAACTTCTGTCGTCCCAGCTGACGTTTTTCTTGATTTCACAAAACATATTCAAGACAAATTGTTTGAACTCATTTTTTAAATCCGTGTTAGACACCAAACTGTGCATTTTTCTTAAAATGTTACCAATGGATTCCCAGACGAATGGTGAATCTTCGTTTTTGTAGTGGCATAGGAATTGGAAAAACTGAAAAAAAATTGATTGAAAATATTTCATAGAAATCAAAACAGAAAAGTCTTTAGAGTAGACTTTTTTCCCCATTTGCGAGTTAGTAGAGTTTTTTTTTACTGTTTACAAGTTCTAGATATAGTTTGCTTGTTAGTAGAGTCCCTTTTATCATTTTAAAGTTTGTAGAGTTCCTTTTGTAAGTAGAGTCTCTCATGTTTTTTTAATGTTCTAGATTTTTTTGTTAGTCAGTAGAGTTCCATTTTTAAAACTAAGTTTTAGATTGCGTTTGCTTGTCAGTAGAGTCCCTTTTTAAACGTCCAAGTTTAAGAGTCTCCTTTGTCTTAACACAGTTTTAGATTTCTTTTGCTTTTCAGTAGAGTCCTTTTTTAAATGACTAAGTTTTGTCAGTAGAGTCCCTTTTTGCCCTTTTAAAGTTCTAGATGTAGTTTGCTTGTTAGTAGAGTCCCTTTTGCCTTATGAAAGTTTTAGATTTAATTTGCTTATCAATAGAGTCCTTTCTTTAATTTACAAGATCTAAATTTCTTTTGCTTGTCAGTAGAGTCTCTTTTTTGTTATCAAAGTTTTACACCTAGTTTGCTTGTAAGTACAGTCTTTTTTCTCATTTTCAAGTGTTAAATTCGATTTGCTTGACAGTAGAGTCCTTTTTCGCATTTTCAAGTGCCATATTAAATTTGCTTGTCAGTAGAGTCCTTTTTATATTTCAAACTTCATTGAAAATCAATTTGCTTGTCAGTAGAGTCCTATTTTTCATTCCAAATGTTGTTGAAAGTCAATTTGTATGTCAGTAGAGCCTATTTGCTCTACTATTTTGCTCGTTTGCTCGTCAGTAGAGTCCCTTTTTCCATTCCAAAGTGTATTTAGATTTAGTTTGCTCGTTAGTAGAGTTCTTGTTAAATTTCTGGATTGATTAGTCCCTTTTTTTAATTTTTACCTCTAATTTTAGTTTGCTCGTCAGTAGAGTCATTTTTATTTGAATTGTAAATTTTATTTGCTCGTTAATAAAGTCTTTTTTGTTTGAATTTCAGAATCTATTTGCTCGTCAGTAGAGTTATTTTTATACTTAATATATCCATATTCAGTTTGATCGTCAGTAGAGTTTTTTTGGAACTTCTCAAATTTGATTCTTTTAGATTTTCTTTGATATTTAATTTCTCAGTCAGTAGAGTTACTTTTAAATTTTTCAGAATGTGATAATTTTCTCGATATTAGTAGTGCATTTTACATCTAATTTTAGTTTGCTCGTCAGTAGAGTCTCTTTTGTTTAAATTTTAAATTTATTTGCTCTACTGACTGGCAAATTAAATATCAAAGGAGCAAATTTGAGAAGTTGGAAAAGAACTATACTGACGATCTAACTGAATATGGATATATAAAGTTTGAAAAGGTCTTATATAAAGTTTGAGAAGGTGTAGCATAATGTATGGAAGTTGAAGCGTAACATGGCCTTGCCATAACATTTGTATGTTATGGCCCATGTATCTCTAATTACAAATCTATTCCTTACCGTTTCCATGGTCTTTCTACCAGAAGTCGCCATCGCATACATATCCTCCAACAAACCAATTCTGTCCAAAACTGGCAAGGACAAACTTTCTATTGATGGCCCAAATTTATCCATCATTTCTGGCGGGTACAGAACCCTATAATAATCCATGGTTCCTACATTTAATTTCACCCAATCGCATGGTGCCAAATCTTCAACAGTCATAGACGTCGATTGACATTCCATCAAAGTCCTGACGGTATACTAAAAATAAAACAAACATTATGTTGGTACTTGTTAACTTCCCGAAGGAGAAGTTTATGTTTTCATCAAAAAATCCGATTCGCTAATTTTATGTTTTCTCGACGTTTCAAGCCATTCTGAATCGAATGAGACCAACATTAGGAAAAGTATGTGTGTGTGTGTGTGTGAACAGATTTTTTGCCGTAAATCGACGTTTTCTAAAAACGTTGGACCAAATTCAAAATTTAAAAGTCATTCGATGTATCTCGATGAAGACTAGCGTTTCTGTGTGACGATCAGCCGAGACGTTTCTTTGTAAATCGCAGAAAAGTGAAAAAATTTTCGTCCACGTTTTAGCCCGCAATTCTGAATCGATTTTGAAAATTCAAAAACCGTTCGATAGATATTGGTTGGAAATCGTGCTGATTAGTTTTTGGTAGAGATCGGCCGGGCCGTTTTTTTGTAATAAATTTTTGTGATTATTTTTTTTTACCAAAGTCTTCTAGATCATACTAAAATATTACGCCCCTACGACAACTCGTTTAGCTTTAAAAATTCGTCAAAGTTTGCAAAAATTAGTATGGTCTTTTTGGCATTTGTCAAAATTAAACCTTTCATCGACGATTGCTCAAAAACGCCTGAACCGATTTCATAAATTTAAAAACCATTTGATGTACCTCAATGAGGACTATGGCTTGACACTTTTGTGCGACGATCGGCCGAGCCGTTTCTTTGAAATTTGGAAAAAAGTGTTAAACTTTTCGTCCACATTTAAGCTCAAGCTACCGAATCGATTTTAAAAAATCAAAAATTGTTTGAAACATATTAGTTGGGAATGATACTTATTAGTTTTAGTTGAAAATCTACCGAGCCGTTTTCTTGTAATTAACTGTTGAAAAAAAAATTTAAGCCGTTTTTTATGGAACTTTTCGGCGATATATATCATGGTCTTATAGAACTTACTGTAATATTACGGCCTTACGACAAGTATTATAATTTTAAAAATTCATCAAAGTTTGAGAAAATGAGTAATTTTTTTGACATTTGTTAATATTAAAATTAGACGATTTACTTGGTATGACGATAGAGTACTTGGTCTTAATGAACATACTAAACAATTAAAGTCCTACAAAAAACTGGTTCAATTATAAAAATTGTTGATTTTTGAAAATTTGCTTTTAGAAAATACTCCGAGTCAAAGTGTTCGTTCGTTTTCAATTATGTGTGATAAATCCACTCGGAATACTTCTAATCACTCATAAATGAATTTGTTTATTATTGATTAAGTTGATTATTTACACATATCGGGAAGTTCATGTAACTTGCCCCAAGGCTAAATACCAATACCAACTAGTTAGTTATCAATTACCACTTACCCCAGTTGGGCATTTGGACGTCATGACAGTTATAGGTATTGTCCATTGCATCGGAGGTACCTCCTGGCCAGTACTTTTGGTGAACACTTCTTGTTTTATATTAATGGTTCTTGTGGTTCCGCAATGCGTTTCTGATACTGTCAGCAAAGGGTAACCCGGTTGGTTTACCCAGGCGTTCATCATGCAACCTGAAAGAAAATTGATATAAGCAAGAAGCATTGGCAAATTGGATGCTTTCATATTACTTCCCGTAGGGTTGTTATAGTAATGGGCCGAAAATCGAAAATTAAAATTTTTGCATTTCTCGACGTTTTGAAGTTCTGAACATTTTGGCATACCTCAGATAAAATGGATGTGTGTGTGTGTGTGTTTTGTATGTCCGTATTTTTTCGTCCATGTTTTCGGGCGCACGAATCAACCGATTTGAATGAATTAAAAAACATTCGATTCCTATTGATAGGAAGATGTGCTGATTAGTTTTTGGCAAAGGCAGATCCAGCCGTTACGGAGATACGGAGCAAAGAGTGCAGAAAATACAAATCGAGTTTTTGAGAGAGAACGGAGTATCGGATTTGAATGATCTAAAAAACATTCGATTTGTAATAGTTGGGAGAAGAGGTGATTAGTTTTTGGCAAAGACAGGTCTCGCCATTTCGAAGATACAGAGCTAAATGTGCAAAAATGAGAGTTTTTGAGTGAACTACGCGTCCGATTTGGATAATCTGAAAAACTTTCTGCTTGTATTGACAAAACAATTGCTTTTGAGGATAAAAAATTAATACATTTTATTTATTTTCCATGCAAAAAAAAAAAAAATATTTTAATATAATAATCATAGAGGGTAATGTGCTTTACCCTTAGTGGTTCTCGTACTAATCAGAGGGTATACTGTTCTTAAATTTCTCACTCTTTTTAAAAAACTGATCAAACGTACTTTAAAAATTTGGTTGTTTTTTGTATTTTTTGTGAAAACAGTTTTGTGATTTTGTTGAAAATATTTTTTACGAGTATATTTAGTCCTCAGTTCATTTATTCAAATTATTCAGATTTTTCTTTTGTATACTGTGCATTTATATAAATCTTTATTTGGAATCAAACCCAGAAATGAATTTACGTGCTATATTTGGTGGCGCAGTCTATGTAAAGCGCAAACAATTAAAATTGAAGTAAATGCATAGATAAATAAGCATAAGTAATGAAGAAGTAAATGCGACTTTATTTTTATCTATATCAATATTTAGTTTACTCGTCAGTAGGGTTCTTTTTAGTGACTAGAACTTAAATCTTAAAAATATTAAATACATTTGCTCTAATCCGTGTAAAGCCAATAATTAGTTTGCTCACCAGTACAGTTCTTTTTCATGACTAAAATAATTGCTTTCGAAAAAAAAAATTGTTACATTTTTTTTTTGTAATTTTGGATTAAAAATTCAAAAAATTACCCAGGCAAGCACAGTCTAAGCGCCGCTCTCGTACAAATGTTTACGCGAGTGCGTTTAGACTGTTTATGTAATGTAAAAAATGTGAAAATGCCGTCAAGCTAAGCACAGTACAAGTGAAAATGTCGCACAGAATTATTTGCAAGTGCGTTTAGACTGTGACTAGACGGGAGCACTTTTTCAATTTTGTGCAAATTTGGCAACTATTTTTTTTTTTTGAAATTGAATTCGAAATGAAATGACGATTGTTAATGTTCTGGAGATAAATTGATTTATGATTTACATTTGATTTGCTCAGATTTAACAAGATAGCAAAAATAATGAAAGTCACAGTATTTGTAATAATGTATTTGAAAACGTGTAAAATTTCTCGAATATTTCATTACGGTATGGGAAGTTTCAGCAATTTGCCTTAAGGCATGATGCTATACACCACTAGTTACCTATTGGTTTTCCACTGGCTTCTTCCATAGACTTCCACAAATCTGCTGTTCCAGCACTTTGAAATTTATATTTTTGTATATAATTTTTTATTCCTTTAGAATAATCTTCTTCCTCCAAATAATTTCTTAACATTCGAATTATGGTAGCACCTTTGGAGTAACTGGAGGCGTTGAACATTGCTTGGGCATCAGAAGTTGAACCAACCTTGGGTAAAGGTTATATAACATTTTTTATTCTTTCTTTTTTTTATGTCAATTATTTTTTTCATACTTTTCGAACAATTGGTGCAGCCCCAGGCATCTCGTCTGCAGCCATGGCTGCATAAAAGTGCAGCAAAAATCCGTTCCAAGGATCTATTTCAGGAAGTATTCGATATTTTCCGAGAACGGAGTAGAATGAAGCAAAGCCTTCGTTAAGCCACAAATCACTCCACCTATAAAAAAATTGTAGAAAAATTATGTCATAATAAAATATTATAGGCCTGGGATAAGGGGTTGAATTATTTAAAAAATTATCAAAGTTTAGATATTTTTTAGAAAAATATGTCAGTATTCGGAATCTACTGAAAAAGACCTTTCAAATGATACCCCACACGACATATTTGAGGTAAAACGTTTTGACCTCTCATTTGATCCAACAGACCGTTTGTAAATTTATTAAATGCTTTGTAACTTTTAAACGCTAAATCTGATTTTGACAAAATATTCGGCAAGTTTGTACAAAATTTAAAAATGTATAAAATTGTCTAACATCATAATGCCATGCAGCAACTAGGTACTTCAAAATCATAATTAAAATAAAAAATCAAATCAAAATCGATTTCATATTTGAATTCAGTCCGTCGAGACCTTTCAAATGATACCCCACACGACGTATTTGAGGTAAAACGTTTTGACCCCTCATTTGGCCCATCAGACCGTTTGTAACTTTATAAAATGTCTTGTAACTTTTGAACGGCAAATCTGATTTTGATAAAATATTCGGCAAATTTGTACAAAATTAAATAATGTTTAATATTGTCTAACATCATGATGCCCTACAGCAACCAGGTACTTTAAAGTCATAACTAAAATGCAAAATCAATCAAAGTCGATTTCATATTTGAATTCAGTCCGTCGAGACCTTTCAAATGATACCCCACACGACATATTTAACGTAAAACGTTTTGACCCCTCATTTGATCCATCAGACCGTTTGTAAATTTATTAAATATCTTGTAACTTTTGAACGGTAAATCTGATTTTGATAAAATATTCGGCAAATTTGTACAAAATTAAATAATGTATAATACTGTCTAACATCATAATGCCATACAACTACTCATATACTTTAAAATCCTAATTTAAATAAAACATCTAAAGTCAGCTATATATTTGAATTCAGTTTGTCGAGCCCTTTCAAATGATACCCCACACGACATACCTAACGACACAACGTTTTGACCCCTTATGTGATCCATCAGAATGACTTAATACGTCGAAAAAACAAACAATTAGCAAATTGGATACCCACAAAAAATTTGAAGTAAAACTTCTTTAGACTCATCTGCTACTAATTTGTGAAAAGTGTATATTTTGTGGATACGAATCATTTAAACATTTTACATGTCAAATATTAGAAAAAAATCAATAAATTTTAACACTATAATATTTTTGCATACGTATATAACATTTTTATTACAATATAATAATTTTTTGGGGAAAATCGCATTCTACTCGTGGAGACCTTTCAAACGATACCCCACATGGCATAAAAATAGCCACCAAAAATTTTTGAAGTAAAACTTCTTTAAGCTCGTTTTCTATAAACTCACTAAATATTAAATGCCTGTATCGCAATTCTTATTGATTGAGTTGGTTATTTACACGTATCGGGGGAAGTTTATGCAACTTGCCTTGAGGCCAAATGCCACTTACAACTAGTTCTCTGTTTTATTTACCAATTCATGGTGACAAGATCTCCGAACCACAAATGTGCCAATTCGTGAATAACGGTTCCTGATATTGACGATTTCCAAACTGTTGGAGTTTCATTTTTGTTGAATATCATAGACATATCTCTGTAATGAAATATATATAAAGTGAATGCTATAGCATTCACATTTAGTGGGATGTAGAATGGCGTGAATGCTATAGCATCCAAATTTTGAGGACAATTACTTGGATTTACATTACGTTTTTGTAATTATCAAATTGTTAAGGAGGTGCCTAATTGATTATTTAAGTATTTTCGTATTAGTTACTAATTTGCTGCATACAATACAATTTGGCCAAGAAATTGCGAAAAATACAAAGGCAATACTTGACGTGGATGCTATAGCATTCATCTAGTATACATTATTAAAATGTGACATTCTGACTAATTACACTTTTATTGGGCACGAACGTGCAAGGTTACTTCTCAGTTGAAATGCATCATTTTCCATAGTCACTAATTTGACGTGGATGCTATAGCATTCATCTAGTATATATCGATTAAATATCATAATAGTATTTCTGTATTATCTTGGCTATTCTAGTAGTTACTAATTACCTTGGATCATTCAAATTGTGGGAATAGAAGCACAAAACTTGTCGTGGATGCTATAGCATTCATCTAATATATAACAATTAAAATACGATGATAGTATTTTCGTATTATCTTATCTTTTCCGTAATACTTGACGTGGATGCTGTGGCATTGATCTAAGTTTATAACGATTAAAATATGATAATAGTATTTTCGTATTATCTTATCTTTGCCCGAAGTCACTAATGCGCAAGCGGAAATAGAAGCTTAATCCTTGACGTGGATGCTATAGCATTCATCTAGTATATATCGATAAAATATGATAATAGAATTTTTGTATTATCTTATCTTTTCCCTTAGTCACTAACTATCTTGGGTATACAAATTACGGGAAATAGAAGCACAAAACTTGACGTGGATGCTATAGCATTCATCTATTATATAACGATTGAAATTTTATAATCTGACCTTTATTAAATCAAATTTTGGATATCACAAACATTTTAAAAATAAAATTACTGGAAATTTTGGTACCTTGCTGAAACTTTTACCAATTTTTTTTTATAAATTATAATTTTTTACCCAAATGAAATGTGTCCCCAATTCTCCATGGCACCACTCGCAAAATTTTTGGTAACCACCAAATCCAATTTTGGCAACGAATAAGGTTCGTCAAAAAGTTTCGAAAAAATATCTAAACCTTTTACTGCCACTTCAAGGCCGAATTGACCATATTTTTTCATCCCTGGGGGCGTATAGACCCTTACCTGCAAAAAAAATTGAGGAAATTTAAATGTTTTCAAATAGATTATTATGAATACTGTAATTTTTGTTATTCGTATTTTATAGACAAAATGTAAGAGCTTATGAATTGCACGACCATGTTTAAGTATGTTTACATAAATAAACAAAACTTGATAAAGCGAAGTTAGAATGTAAGGACCTTATCTCATATTTCTCAGAATTATATAAACTAAATTGCAAAGTTAAAATTATTTATTTCAAGTATATAAGTGAGCTTTAGAATTTTAGCTAGATTTAAAATTAAATTCCAAAAACCATTTTTGTATATATTTTTTTAATTATAATTACCTTAGTACCACTTTCTGTTTGACTTTCAATATACTCAAACTCTCCGACCGAAAATGCCAGTAAATAAGTTGACATTTTAGGGGTTGTGTTGAAACAAACAGTTTTGCAACCACATTTTACCTAAAACATATAATTTTTAAGTACTAAAACTAGTTGTAAGTGGCATTTTGCCTTGAGGAAAGTTGCATGGACGTTCTGATCAAAAAGAATCAAGATTCAGATATTCAATATACGCTTTTAACGAGTTTCTAGTAAACGAGCTTAAAGAAGTTTTACTTCAAAAATTTTTTATGGTTACTTTTATGGCATGTGGGTATCGTTTGAAAGGTCTCGACGAGTAGAATGCGATTTTTATGAAAAATGATTATGTTGTAATAAAAAGTTATATACATATTGCAAAAAATATTAGAATGTTAATTTTATTGTTTTTTTTTCTTAATAATTGAGGTATAAAACTGTTTTATGTTATTTGTGTCCACAAAATGTACACTTTTCACAATTTGTAGCATAGGAGTCTAAAGAAGTTTTACTTCAAAATTTTTGTTGGCACTTTCATGGCATGTGGGGTATCGTTTGAAAGGTCTCAATGAGTAGAATGCGATTTTTACAAAAAATGATTATATTGTAATAAAAGTTATAACATAATGCAAAATTTTAGAATATTAAAATTTATTGATTTTTTCTTAATAATTAAGGTTTAAAATTTGTTTATGCAATTTGTGTTCACAAATATACTCTTTTTACAAATTTGTAGTAGACGAGCTTAAAGAAGTTTTACTTCAAATTTTCTTGATGGTCACTTTTATGGCATGTGGGATATCATTTGAAAGGTCTCGACTAGTAGAAAACGATTTTTGATAAATTAGGTAATTATACTAAATCATTCTTTATAGTGTGCACGCGAAAATCTCTGTTTGGAAGTAATTTCTTTTATCAAGTTAGGTGTAAGTGGCATTTGGCCTTAAGGCAAGTCACCTCTTCTTCTCGGACATCCATATTAGACAAGGCCATCAAATTTTCAGGAACTTTCATAACAATGTCAAAAGTTGCCTTCAAGCCGGTTCATCAAAACAAGGAAAAGCTTCACGAGCCCTGTTGGGCTCAAAATGACTTATGACGTATGTTTTCGTCCTAAGGGAAAAATATTTAATAAAATAAAAAAACTGAATTCATGGTGCAGTAAATTAAACTATGTTACATGGCGTTTTCTCATATAAATGGTACTAAAAACTTGCAAAAGTTTCTGTGGT